TTTATGTGTATGTTAAATAAATAAATAAATAAATAAATAAATAAATAAATAAATAAATAAATAAATAAATAAATAAATAAATAATTTTATTACAGTTTTGTGGTGCCTTTCCTTCAATAAGTCATAAACTAAAAAGCCCTGAAATTAGGAATGTGGTTTCTGAAGGATTTTCAAGTTGCAAATATATGGAAACTGTTTCAGTAGATCTAAATATCAATTTTCTAAAATAATTATTTACCAAAAACTATGTCTTGAATATAGCTATACACTCATGTTTTGATATCACTAAGTAATCAATACATTTAAAAATCTGACTGAAAGGGACAAATAGTCTGGGTCAGGACTTTAACTGATTAAAGCATAAATAAATACTGTATACTGTATTTAAATATGTTGGACGACATAAAAGCAATGGAAATGGTAATGAAATATATAGTAAGACTGATCAGGATATTTTCCATACTTAAAATAGTTAATATGGCTATGCTGATCTGGTACAGGATGGCATCATTTTGCATGTGTGAAAATTATTAAAAATCTATTGCTCATTCTATACTTAGGTCGTATTTGTTTACTAGTCTTACTTTGCATTGTACTGTATTGTGTTAAGTTTTTAAACAGTAGAGGCCAACTTGTGGCCCTCTTGATACTATTGGACTCTATAGTTCCTGTAACTGTGCTAGCTAGGGCTGATGGGAGTTGTAGTCCAACAGAGAACCATAGCTTCCCTGCCTTGTTTCTAATAGTAAAGCACTGAAAGACAAGCCAAATCTCTATTTAAATAAATACGTACTGGAAGACCATAATCTGACAGAAAATTTTGTTCTTCTTAGGGTAATGTTTGTTTTCTGGGCTTGAATATGCTAGGATTGAATATGTTTTGGTCTGTGCAGTAATTTAACAGAAAGGACTATAGGAACTGTACTGTAGTCCCAAAGTCTGGCACGCATAGAGAATATCTCAGGTTCAATCTCTTGCACTTGCAAAGAGGGCTAAAAAATCCTTCCTGGTGAACTGTAGCCATTCACAGCAATGGTGGGCTAGGTGGATGCATCATCTGCTTTGAAGTTAGCCAACCACTTCCAATGTTCCAATTCCTGTTCTCTGTCTTTCATTGTATTTGCTAAATCTGGTACCTGTTACCTGGGTGCAGGCCCTGACTTCTGGAGCTAAGTTGCTCTGCTAACTGAGAAGTTAGCATGGAAGAAATATACTGTAACTGACATTTGTGAATTTTTCTGGATTTCTTTGGCAGAAAACATTTGATAGAAGGTCCTTCTGCACATTTGTTTCCTCTTTTAGAAAATACACTAATATTAGTAGGATAGCAGAATATGGTAAGGGAGCACAGAATGTATAGAAGAATATGGTAGCTGCATATTCTGCATATAACTCTTTAAAAAGCTTCTTCTACTGAACTATCCCAAAGAAGAAGGTTTCAGCTGAATTTTTCCTTGTGACTGTAAAATTTGTACCCTGGATTTTTATTAGTTCATATAAAAATACTAAGTAGGAAAGAATTTGCCATGATACATGACTGGCTAAAGTTCAGTTTATTACTTGAAAAATAGTTTTCATTATTTCCCAGGCAGCATCTCCGAAACACCAAGTTTGCAGTGCAGTTTGAAACAAAAGGACCTCATTTTAGTTTATGTTTAGCTCATGTTTAGGATCGGTATGTTTGAAATTTAACAATGTTATACTCCCAAAATATTCTATGGTGTTACTCATTTTTGGCATGTTAAACAAAATAAAATTAATAATTTTAAAATCTCCAGTGCTAACTAGCTAGCATCCATTAAAACTAACTTACCCCAGGTGGAGAATACTGTACAGCTATTGACTATAACTATCATGATCACTGTTGAAAGACCATGCTGATGAAGATTGTAGTTCAAAATAGCTGGAGGATACCACATGGAAAAGACTTAATTAAACTTATTAATCTTTAATTCTTCCAGAATAAATAAAATGTTATTTCTCCACATTAAAAAAGTGCAGTGGATGGAGGGGTAGGTAGAGACAAGCATAATCTTGTTTACAAACATTAATTAGATGGACTTAGCTGACTGAAAACATCTATATGAAAAGGACATGATAAAAAAAGACAGAATGGGCTTAATATGAGAGCAAATATAACTCATTTTACCTTTTTTCCCCCTTATGTATTCTGCAAGATTATGAACAACTGACCAGTCATGAGACAGGGATTAATGGACAGACTACTTGGGCAGCAATAATTTCAGAAAGATTCATTTTAAATGGAGTGAACTGATGCATTAAGCAGAAGCTTTTTGGATGACAATCTGTTTCTCATATGCACAGCACTCAAATCCACTAAGGTCTGATAACCTGTGCAGCTCTAGAGGTCTATTTTCTGCTCTTGCAGCCCTCTTGGGCCCACACAGACTAACAACAATGCAAAAAACCCCACAAAAATTAAACTGGAAATATGTTAAAATTCACTTCCAGTTTTGTACACTTGGCATTTCAGGTTGCTGGACAGTGTTGGGGAGTTTGTGACATAAAAAATGAATCACCACTTTTTGAGCCTTCAGGCCCTGCTTTCATTCTGCCACTTTTTATGATCAGAAACTAAACATCTGCTATTTGCCTGACAAACTAAAATCCAAGATGGTTAGTGTGGGTTTTCCGGGCTCTTTGGCCGTGTTCTGAAGATTGTTCTTCCTAACATTTTGCTTGGATATGAAATCCAAGATTTCATATGAAGTGCGCTCCCTTCCAAATTAAGCTAATTTTATTATTTTGCAATCTATTAACAGTTTTGGATGGCAGTCCTGTAAGACTGTGTCACAAGCAGAGGATATGGACCGACATACTCCTTTGCATCCGTTACCTGAAGAAATACAAAAGGTATGTTATTATTGAGAAACATGGCTGCTTCTGTTTTATTCCATGTCTGGCACAATAGATTTCACTGTTTGTTTTCTCTGCTGTACTCTTGCTGTATTTCCGATTCGATTTTGACTGTGGCTGTTGGATAATATTTTTATTTTTTCCAGTACACGCACAATAGAATAGAAGTTGCTGTCAGTCTGTTTTCCTGGCTCATTATTTCCTAACCTGGGGTGGGCAAATTTGGTCAGTCCACAGACTGATTTTCACAGCACAGATAAGAAAAAAATGCAAGAAAAAATAACTGCAAAAACCTGGAAGAGGCTAAAAATCCACTTCTAATTTTTTGGGGGAAATGTATTTGGGGATATTGAACAGTAAAAGGTAAGTCTTGACCAATTTAAAGGCTCCTAGGAGGTGAATTTACTTTTTTGTGAAAACGAGAGAACTTGGCAAGGACTGGGAGCTCAAAACTAGTCTTCAGCTGACTGGATTTCATTCTGGGGCCATACTTTGCCTATTCTTGGTTTGTATTAGAGATTCCGAATCTTAAGTACTGTACTCAGATGTTCATGAACTAAAATTCCCAGAAGCCTTCACCACTAGCTGTGATTACCAGGATTTCTTGAAGAACACTTGGAGACCCAACGTTGGGAACCACTGGTCTATACTAAGGAAATTGGTAGACACACTGTATAAAACCAAGACCAGCCCTCTGACTGGCCTTCTTCTAAGCTATCTCCTGTATTGTTGGGCCCTATTTCTCTTTTGGGGGAAGCTACTTCACAGTTCCTTCCCTCTCAAAGTCCTTCCACCTGTTTTTTGTTTTGTTTTGTTTTGTTTTTGTAGATTTCACACTAGCAGGGTTTATTCATAGCTCTGCCTTCAGATAAAGGAGATTGAACTTGTGATCTGCGGTTAAACATGTTTTTGCCCACTTTAATACACAGTATTTCTGAGGAAAATTCTGAAGCATAAAGCTAAAAAGATCCTAGAATATGATTATTCCCATATACTTATAGACATGTATTGCTGAATATAGAGATGGAACAAACCAGAGATTATAAATTGTACTGTACTGTATATATCACACATGTAATCAATAAATAAATTGAACAGTATAATAATAAATATTGGCCACTACTGTTTCTAGCTCCAATGTGAGTAGATGCACTGACTCAGTAAGCTTGGCAGAAATGTTGACCCAGCAGTTGATTCACTGGGTCTACACTTGGTTTACGAACGTAATCTGTATTGGAATTAAGTTCGTACGTCAAAAAGTTCGTAAGGTGAGGCAAACTTTTCCATAGGAATGCACTGAAAACCATTTAATCCATATCTGCTGTTTTGCGTTCGTATGTCCAGGCATTGTTCGTAGGTAGAGGCATTAGTTGCCATAGGAACTAATACAAAGCCGGTTAATCCATACTCTACCACTGGGGGGTGATTTTTAAAATTTTTTTATTTTGACCTCAGATGAACTTAGGTCAAAAAAAGGGCAGGAAAGGTTTTTTCTTTTCTCTTTTTGGTTCGTAAGTCGAGGCTCCGTTCGCAAGTCGAACCAACTTTTCGGGAATGGAGCCATTCGTAACTCGAATCATTTGCAAGTAGGAACATTCATAAGTCGAGGTTCCACTGTATTTTGTAGGTGAGACTATACTGGTTATCACAGTAAACTAAGCGTAGGAGGGATGCTACTTAACTTTTTATAAGAAAAAATTACCCACAAAAGCTAATTTACACCTATGAAAAGTTGCCTGGGCATAAATCTACAGTCGGTGGTAGGCCCTCGGTTCTCTCCAGAAGGATGCTAAAATCAAATAATCAAAGGGGAAAGACGGAGTAGAGTTAAAATAAATAATTGTAGTTTTATGAGAGGTTAGTCTGTGCTAGTGTATCAGGCAAAAGCAAAATAAAAAGTAAAGAAGACAAAATGTTGTAACTGCCTTGGGTTCTTTTTAAGGGGAAAGGTAGGATAAAAATATTTTGAATAAATAAATAAATAAATAATAAATCTTAAATCAGTTTTTCCTGACCTTTTTCGTCTTCACAGACCCCTTTTATAATAGCCGGGTAACCTGTGACCCCCTCTGCCACTTTTGCATAAAAACACATTTTAATAGTGTAAAGCAAACCCATTAAAATAGATTTTTTCATAGTATAATTCTAACCTAATATATTAATATTCATATACTAATGCATAATTATTGGGAGGGCTATAAATCAGCCACTACCAGATAAAATTTCAGGAGAAAAAAAATGTCAATACATTTTGAGTTTCATTTACTTTCTTAGATGTAAAAATGACCCTTCGTGTCTCCTTCCCCCCAAAAAGCCTCTTCAGCGAAGAACCCTTCTCCTCAAGCCCAAATAAACATCCCCCCCACTTTGTGACTCCCTTGTGGGTTAAAACCCCCAGTTTGGTAAACCATGCCTTAACGACTAACTGATGTATTTTAACATGAGCTGCAAAGGACAGGTCCACTTTCTCAGATGTCTGAGGAAGAGGATTTATCCAGGAAAGCTCACATTAAAATATAGCTGTTAGTCTTTAAAATGCAGCAATGTTTTTGTCGTCTTTATTTTTTTTCCTGCCTGATAAAATGAATGAATTATTAAAAACCAGGGAATGTATTAAGAATGAATGAGGAAGTAACATCCTTTTGAACTCAATGAAATCTACTTTCCCATTAAACGTACTTCAGATTAATCTTTCATGCTTTTTTACATAGATAGATAAAATTCTGTCTTAAATTTCTGTTTTGAAAAACAGTGGGCTATAGTTCAACAGAAGTCCTAATTCTTTACAGTTTTGAATAACAACCTATTGTGGAAAGAAAAAGAGAAGAAAGTGGGAAAAGAGTTGGCTGTTGCATGCTGCTTCATTTTGCCTGTTTAGTCTGCACACTTAATTAATGTCTGCCTAATGCTTGTGACATCTTAAAAGTTCAATTTTTAAAGGCATAACCAAATAATGCATTAATCAACACGGAGAGATTTTTATCTGAGTGTCTTAACGCACACAATCACCCTTATCCATCAGAGGAAGCTTAGGCAAGTTTCCCTACATAGATTTTCTTGCTGAATCAGGAGAAACTGGTTGTGCATTCAGCATTAATTTACTGCCTGTTCTCCAATCAGGGGCCACACATGTCATGCTTTGAAGAGCCTATCAACATTATTAAAACTGACCGCACCAAGATTGTCTATAAAGTATATTAAGAATTGGAGGAGGTGGAGAAGTGTAGCAAAGTTGGTTGTTGTGGGTTTTTCGGGCTTGGCCGTGTTCTGAAGGTGGTTTTTCCTAACGTTTCGCCAGTCTCTGTGGCCGGCAAAGTTGTTGTGACTCATTGTTACCAGTGTACGTGGGGCTAATGCGGAGGTTAATGCAGAAGCTTCAAATGGTGCAGAATGCGGCAGACAGATTACTTAGTGGAGTGAGAAAATTCCAGCATAACTCTCCCATTCTGGCTGCTTTGCCCATTCGTTTCTGCACTTCAAAGTGTTAATGATGACTTATAAAGCCCTAAACAGTTTAGGATCTCGATACAGTGGGGTCTTGACTTGAGAACTTAATCCGTATTGGAAGGTGGTTCTCAAGTCAAAAAGTTCTCAGGTCAAATCTGCATTTCACATAGGAATGCATTGAAAACCATTTGATCCGTATCTGCTCTTTTCCGTCCATAGAAACTAATGGGAAGCTGCTATTCTGCCTTCGACCACTAGAGGGGAATATTTTGTTTCTTTTTTTCTTAGGTCAAGAAAGGTTCAGGGAAGGCAGGGAAAATACGGTCCAGGCAGTACAAGTACCAGGCAGTCTGAAGACTGTCTCCCAATCCACTCTCTAAACGCTGGGAGGAGTGAGGAAGCAGACAGGCACCCTTTTCACTGGCCAACAGTTAACTGAAAGTTCCAATTTTGCACTTTCCCTGGCTCCCACGTGGTTTTTTTTTTCAGTTCTTAACTCAAATCTAAGTACTTAAGTCAAGTCAATATTTTCCTATGAGAGTGGTTCTTAAGTCAAAATGTTCTTAACTCGAGCTGTTCTTAAGTCAAGACCCCACTGTACCTGGCAGAACGCCTTCTCCCACCTAGATCTACTTGAGTCTCTTGCCAGAGCCAGGAAAGATGACTGAGGGGCCTGATGCTGAAAGGCCCGAAAAGAAAAACAAGAAACCGGGCTTTCTTGGCGGTGGCCTCTTGACTTTGGAACAGCTTGCCACCAGAGATCTGCCTGGCACCCTCGCTGGGTGTTTTTAAGAGCCAATTAAAAACTTGGTTCTTTAGGCAGGCCTTCCCTCCCGCCAATTCTTGATTGTACTTTCTTGCTTTTGTTGTTTATTCTCCCATCATGATCATGTTATTATTGTAGATTTTAATTGTTGTTTTATTTGTTTGTGCACAATATGTTGTGAGCCACCCTGAGTAGACTCCTGTCTAGAAGGGCGGGATATAAATCCAATAATAAATAAATAAACGAAAATAGTGTGCACTGTGTGACTCACGCTCACTTGAAAGGCCTTTAAACAAGATAATTTCAGTTGCCCCTATCCCCTTCTGTTTGCCCATCTTCTAGTTGCCATATTCATTTGCTTGTCTGTCTCTCCAGGATTGCTATACCAACCTTTATACTAAGACTCAAGGATACTGGAATATTTATATTATATTTGACTTTGCAGGATTGCACTAATCTTTTTTTATTCATCTTAATGCATACTGTAGAAACTATATTCTATGCTGATTTGTTTGTACTTCATGCCACTGAGATGAAGGATGTCATTGGAGACCCATTGATTTTTATGGTTTGTGAAGAGGAGCAGTGCCAACTGGATTGCACTCACATTCAGCTCCATATTGTCTGTTACTCTGAGCACTTTCAGCTTTTGATAACAATTCATAGTGATTATTACTGAAATATATAGGATACTTAAATGGGCAGAATTCCACAGGTCCCTGCCCCCCACGGAGCTTACAGTTTTAACCAGAAGCTGACAAGGAAGAAGAGACAAGTGGAAGGGAGGAAAGCATGTCAGCCAGTGCCACTTTCATCTGCCTGAAGCAAGGTACGTGGGGGAAATTAAAGCCTGAAGGTGACACAGATCATCTTTCTCCCCAGCTTCCTTTAGAGGGATACAGAGAAGGCAAAATCATTTGCTTGAAGACGAAATAGATGAACATGTGATTAATAATCTCTTTTCAGAACAACTGAGTTGCGTTAGCAGCACTGAATTCATCTTATTCATGATGAAGAAATCAGCACTTTTGCCACACAGCCATTTATTGCCCTCTTCACTCCACTGTTCTGCTCATCCTGGAGACATAAAGTGGAATGTCTAAAACTGTTTATTTTGAAAGACATAAGCAGCAGTGCTCCAAGAAATCGCAATGTTCTTTTCAGGATAACAGTCCCTCCCCTCCTTTCACATTACAGCTCGGTTTGTCCCCTTTCAATAAGTAATTTCAGTACTTTGGAACCTTATGGTATTTATTCTGAATAACAGTTTCATATTTCCAAGCACAGGTTGTAACTGCCAGGAAAAATAAAATTAATTTTTTCATTTCCTTCAGAGCCACTGTAACTAGGATCAGACTTCATGAAGGAAAAAAAGGAGGATTAGGATAAATAAAGGCTGGTGTAGCAACCCTGGAGCCAGCTTTTCAGCAGCATTATCAAAGTGTGGTTTAAAAGGCATAACGTTTAGGTATGCCATTGGAATCTTTCATTTGCTTATGGCTTGTCTTTTAATTAGAAAACTTGTTAATGTTTATCGTTTCAACTCTTCTCCCTTTGCTCACATTAGAACAATTTTCTTCTCTTTTCAGGAAGCTTTCTTATCTGATATCAGCCCTCCCTTCCCTCATTTCTTTGATTCCCATTGAATCCCAAACATTCTTAATATTTCTAAGAGCTGAGCAAAATATAAAGTCAGAATAGTTGCAGTGTGGTGGAAGACTTCTTTTATTGAAGTATGATGGGTTGTATCTGCTATGTTGTCTTTGATGTACATTTTGGTAATTTGATTATGAGTCTTGCCTTGGTGGCTTTTCGGGGAGAAGAATGTACACTTAACTTAGTTCAGTAAATTTTAAAATGCTCTGACGTGCTGTGTGGTAATTTAGGCTGGATATAGATTGCTATTTACTCTGCAGTGACTGTTGGTAGAAGAAAAGTTCACAAATTTATTGTGACATATTCACTCAGCTTGGATTGTTTGGTAGAAGACCTCTCTTTAGCTCACATAATTCTTCACTCCTTCCTGTCCCCTTCATGCTGTTCTTTGTGCTTTTTCCTGGCATCTAATATGTGGCCTTTCTTGTATGTCCAAGACAGGCTATTTTCCACCTCTCCATCATGTTGTATTACACGGTCAAGTTTCCTTACCTGCCCTCACTGGCTGCAGTTGCAGCCAAGCATAATTCTGAGAAGTTGATTTGCAAATAAAAGAGTGACTGATCACTAGGGGGATGATTTCTATGACACTTCATATTTTTTCTGCAACCTATGCTTGAATTTATGAGTGGGTTTGAACATGTTTATGAGTAGTATGACGAGAAAGGCAAAATTACTTATAAACATGTTTGAACTTGCTTATGTGTCCAAATATAGGTTGCAGATAAAATGTGAAATGTACTGTAATAGAAATTCTCCCCCTACTGATCACTGTTGCAACAAAGAAGAGTTGCATGATGTTGCTAATGATAATTCAGTAGAACCTGTTTATTTAGTGACAGTATATATATCATTGAATGTTAGGTGCTTGAGATAACCAAGCATGACTGTTATCACCATCACAATCTGTATATAAACTTCTGGAAGAAACTGCCTCTATATGTCGGAAACAAGATGCTGAATTAAATGCACCTTTGCAGTGATCCAGCACTATGGTTGTTATTTCTTTCAAGAACATAGCTTTAGTTAAAGTCCTTGTCAGTATTTTCTTATTTTATATGTTTATATTGCATCTTTTTTTTCCTAACATGGAAAATAGGGTGACATACATGGATTTCCCAGGTATCCTTCCAGTTCATTCACAACTGAATAGTTAACTGTTTAACCTTAGCAAGATGTTTGCAGCATGCATCGAGACCATTCTATGACTATTGTTACAGTTTTAAGGTTCAGAAATAAAACATTTATAGGAGTCTGAAAAATATCTTGGCCTGACTTATTTTGCATGTGGCCAGTAGTAGTTTCTGCATATGTGGAAAAAAATCAGTATCTGTCAGATATACTTTTTCTTGTACAGAAAGGAATAATTGTTATTGTGGCAGGTGAATGTCCTGGGGTGATATTTCTCTGAGAGGGTAGGAGAAAAGCAGCACAGACTCCTGTGGGTAAGAGGAGTGCAGGAACACAAACAGAAACTTATGTGTACATTCCAGATCTATTTACTGCTGTTTGATGCTTCTATGTTATTCAGAATGAGAACAGTTTGAGATTGTGAATCAGTGACCAGAATTGTATTGGTGGTTAAGGGTTGCATATGGGAAATTTCATAAGTATTAGTGAAAAACTGCTCCTTCTTAATGTGGTCCTGAGCATATGTCTGCTTGCATGATTGGGTGCATGCTCAGGAGTGCAATCAGCATCTCATTAATGAGCAGTAATTTGCACCTGTAACTTGATGTGATTTTTTCTCATACAAATATAAATTCTGTCCATAGATATATTGGAGCAAACCCTGTGTACTTAAGTAAAATGATTTTTGCATTTCTGTTTTTTAAGCAAGAATTGGAGATTTAGTTTTGTGGCTTTCGGAAATGTTCATTTTTCCTAGACTCCTAGAGAAGAATTGGGGATTCTGAGAGTTGTAGTTTCAAAAAGTAACTTTTCCAAACTCTGACATGCTCACAGGTAGGAGCAATTAAAGATGTTGAGATGGGGAACGCATGAATTACTGAAATGGAACTGTAAAAAAGATAAAGTACTGTAGTAGCAGAGCTGATGAACAAAACCTGCCTCTTTTCGCAAGAAACTCAAGTTTATCCAAACACATAATTGTGTGCTGAAATACATCCGCTGTAAGAAGATAATAATCTCACACCTTCCAAATGTCATCGTTTCTGTGTGACTCATAAGTGCCACGTGCAGCACATCACACTGCACACTGAAGTATTACTCTATTCATGGTTTTGGTGGACCGCAAATGTGGTTTTGTCAGGCAATGATTGTAACAATGCATTTATTTTAAGTGCTTGTTCTGTTGCTCACTTAGTTACAGATATACAGTAATTCTAGAATAAAATGACCTTTGAAATATAAAAGAGAAGTGTTTCCTCTAATTAAGTTAAGTAGTGTGTGAAAATTGGAAAGGGAACATTTGGTAGCTTTCAATAATTTTCATCCAGGGTTGGAGGTTTGTCCTCACCCCATCTGGAAGCATGCTGCTCTGTTCTGTTCTCCTGTTATCGGTCTCTGCTGGTTGCAGCAACCAACAGTTAACAGATGGCAAAGAAGGCAGGGTGGATGACTAAAATATCACAACCCTTAGTGGAAGATACTGTTCCATGGTAGAAATGGCTTTTCTGCTTTAGCTCTTCAGCGTTCTGTTCAGTGCAACCACTGAACTGCAAATCAGTACAGCTAGCAAGAAAAGATAATGAAAGAGCTTCCCAAAACAGATTTTAATTGCAGGTGATCTTTGTTGGTTACAAGTAGCAAAATGCTACATGTAACCTAGAGCCAGATTTAATGACATGTGTAGTCCACATATTCTTGGACTACAACAACACCCCTCCTCATTGGCTGTGTTGGCTAAGGGCAACGGAAGTTGCAATCTGACAATCTAGAACAATGCATCCTCTACCCATTTTTTGAGAGTTGTAACAGTGGACAATACTGAGCTAGGCTGTCCAATGATTTGACTTATGCAGCTTCCAGTGTTTGATGAGCTTTTAATTTCTTTTCTAAATACATAGTTTCAAAATTTTCAATTAATATATTACTTTCAGTATAAGCAACATATATATTGTACCATTGTATTTTTTTAGATGTCCCGGGATCAGACAGTGTGTAAATATTGTGGAGTGAGTTATTTGATTCTTCATGAATTTACAGTGCTGGAAGAGAAAGTAAAAGCATTGGAAGAGAAGGTGAAGTTTTATGAAGGAAGCATTGAAAGGGAGAAAGCACTGCAAGAAAAACTTCAGCACCTAAGTCGAGAATTGGAACAGTGCACAGCAGCTAGTGAATCAAAAACAGAAAGGTTGGAACATGTTATTCATTTTTGTTTCTCAAATTAACATATTAATGTCAGTCAGAAGAACACAGGCTTTGACTGTTTTAGTAGAGTCAACTTGCAATAAATATAGTTTCTGGCTGAATTTCTTTTAATTAAACTCTAGATAGAACTATGTTTCAGAGGCTGGTGCTTGCTCTTTCATTTAGCACCAGTCAGTAAAATCATGGACAGGAGAAATGGAATTTTATCTTAAAGTTCCTTATCATTGGAGGTGAAACTTCAATATTAACAATTTTGCTTACATTGAAATTTCTTTTCTTTTGTTGATCGCTGTGGGATCATGCCCTTCCAAGGATGGTGTGGGAGGTTTGCTCTTAACCCTGGGCAGAAACTTGCTACTTACACAGCTGAATTTGTTCTATAAAAACCATGATTCATAAATCAGAATTAAGGTCAAAATAGAGCTTTCCCTTTTCCAATAAAAATGGCCTTCTACTTTTCCTTGTTTGTTTTAGCCTGTGATTACTGTCTGATCTATATTCAGTCATGGTAGACACTAACCAGAACTTCCATACTAACCAGAACTTGAAAACCAGAATCTGAAATTGATTGGCAAAGCCAGGTTAGGGGAAAGCTACTTAACATGAGCCATGGTTAGTATTAATGCAGATTAAAGTCAACTGCATTAAGCAAAGATGTGGAAATATTTGTGAGAAAGATCAGGACTGGCTTCTGAGTTCTAAATCACTGTGTCAAGAAAGCCATTTTAATACAGTATTGCTAAGAAATATGAATGTGCAGTTCTCATAGGTCTGAGAACAATTTCTTTAGAATACAATCATAAATCAGATAATAGAACTGCACTGCAATAAAGACATTTCCACAGTTAATTATAATTAGAAGTGAATGTGGAGATGACTCTGAAGTGTTGTTCTTGTGCACATACCATGTTTCCCCGAAAATAAGACAGGGTCTTATATTAATTTTTGCTCCAAAAAACGCATTAAGGCTTATTTTAAGGGGATGTTTTATTTTTTCATGTACAACAATCAACATTTATTCAAATAAAGTCGTGTCATCTTCTGGTTGCTGCACAATGGTGGAGGGTGGGGTTTCACTTAACTGGGGCTTATTTTGGAGGGTAGGGCTTATATTACGAGTATCCTGAAAAATCATACTAGGGCTTATTTTCAGGTTAAGTCTTATTTTCGGGAAAACGGTACTAGCTATGACATATGCAGTCTTATCAAATTATACTCTTTGTAAAACTAAACAATGTGCAAGGTACTTTATCTGTATTATCTTCATTACCATTATAACAGCTTTGCAAATTAGGGTGGTTTTTGAGTAGCGCGTAGAAAGCCTTTCTGATCTAGATTTGCAGTGGAAAAATATTGATAATCTTTATTCCTACCCGCTTTGTCCCTGCGTCATTTAGTCTTGCCCCTGAACAATTTCTTGTTGCTGACCTTTCTGCTTTCACCTCCATTGTTGCTTACCTTTTTACATTCACCTTCATTAAGGTGGCAGTTGGTGTTTTAATCTAGATAAATAATAGCAGCCGAGAGCCTCTATTTGAGGAAGCATGGGTGGGATCTGATAAACGTCCAGGTCAGGGACTCCATTGTATTACAACCAAGACAGGAACAGCAGTCCATCAAAACTCAGAAGGGAAAAGGTTAAAAAGAATAGAGTTGGGGCCTGTGTGGACAGTTTGAGGAAGTGCTTTGTATATACAAGATAAGGAGCTATTGAACTTTTAAATGCATTATATTCAGCATCCAGGTGTTCCCACTTAATTGAGCTGTGGACTTTTCTCCCAGATTACAAAGGGAGAACTCGGAGGTCCTTGATGCAAGTAACACCTGAAAGTGGAGGGTGGGTACAGGAAGATGTCTCTTTGGGTCATGCCTTTTGCCAGTGGACGTGGGAGTGTATGAGAACCCTAGTTTTCAGCAATTTAGCCATGAAGAGTTTGGTGTTATTTGATTGGGAGGAGTTTGCAGTTAAATCATTCTTGGAGTTATTGTTCTGTTATTAGCTATAGAAATACGAGGTTATCAGGCCTATATAATAGGCCTATGAAAATAGAAATGTCATAATATCTTGCTGGATTGTGCATCTGCATTTGTGTATGTTTACCATATGTCCAGATTCTATTAGGTATTGGAGACCTCTTTTATTTTTACCAGTTTGGAAGGTCTTGGGTTTGATTCAAGTGAGTCCAAAACTGTCATAAATGGCTGACATAATATTGTATCTGGAGCAGATTGTATAGTCTATTCTATTCTTGGTGATGGTACTGTTTGGGAAGCAGATTGTTTGGCTATTTATTTATGTATTTACAAGATGTTTAGCTGCGCCATTACCAGTGGTCTCTGAGCGGCGATTTAGAAGGTATATTTGTAGAATGACTGCATGAAATAAAATTAGTGTCTTAAAACTCATATTCACATTGTTAAGGTGAAGTGGAAGCTTGAATTTCATGCTTATGTTACTATGGAAAGATGCTTGTCAGTTGACACCGTTGCTCAGGTTTCTTAATCAGGAAAATGTATCTTAATTCTAACATGCAGGCATACTGTATACTTCTGTGAATTGTAGCCTACTTTATCAGCTACTCAAACTGTTATACTTGGCATGAAATCCATCATTTCATTTATCTATCAAAGTGAGCTTCAATCTGTGTAAATAAACTGATACCACGTGTTAAGTTTTAGTTCTTGTAAAGCCAAGAATTTGTTTTTGCTTCAACAGACTGACCCTGGAAAGCTTTTTATTCATAATTTCCTAGTTATTAATCTCTGGGCCCTGTAAGGTAAAGGTAAAGGTTCCGCTTGACATTTGGTCTAGTCGTGGCCGACTCTAGGGGATGGTGCTCATCCCGGTTTCCAAGCCGTAGAGCCAATGTTTTGTCTGTAGACAATATTCCGTGGTCACGTGGCCAGCGCGACTAGACATGGAATGCCGTTACCTTTCCACCGTGATGGTACCTATTTATCAACTACATTTTTACATGCTTTCAAACAGCTAGGTTGGTCCAGAAGGCACATGTAAATTAAACATGTAATCTGAAAGCTGGACGAAGGGAGTCTCGTGCCCGACAACCCTAGACTAAAGGATGTGACATTCCTTTCCAATATTTTTCACTGTGATAAGACAGAACTTGCTCAAAGCTAAAGACAGACATATGACAACTGATATGTGGTTTGTTATGAATCATCATGAAGAATAACTAGGTAGAAGAAACAAACAAAAACTATCATAGGTAGTTGGAACACAGAAAGCAAGTTTTCAAAAGTTTGGTCAAATAAATATGAGATTCTGACTTGGCAAGTTCTGAGTGAAATTTATTTTGTACAGTTTTTGGTTTCTATGACTCACATGTGGCTGAATGAGAATCCTTATGTATTTATGTTTTTATTTATTGACCTCCCCATTTGTGTGATGAACTATTCTGATAAGTTCACAACAAACAAAATAACATAAATAAAACAGGATTATTATCAGCACAAAATAAGGTGTGGGATGTTAGATTAGGAACATTAGACCACTACGGCATGCACAACCAGCCATTTATGGTACTTTAGTGCACCTCAGTTGGAATATACACACACATACACAAACACACAAGAACATATACCTTTATTTCTAGTCCTACTGGTTTTCATTTCAGTTAACAGTCTGCCTAATGTATGTAAAGCTAATGGGTTGTGTTACAGCAGTTTCCTGTAATGCCTAGGTTCCTGTTCAGAAAGAAAGAAAATTCCCAGCTAGCATTGGGGCAGGAACAGGAAACGTGGGTGGAGCTAGACCTAGATAAGCTTTCGAGTTTTCCTGTTGAGGCCTTTTCTCACAGATGAACCATATTTAGGTGTCTTTAAGGTGTGCGTAAGGTAAAACACCCAGTATGAGCAATTGTGAGAGACATAGTTCAAATAACTGAAGAATAATGAGAAAGTACAGGAACTGTACTCTGCAAGCTCTGGCTAACTGTTTAAGATGTAAGAAAATCCAGGCTGTGTTTTGCATTTCTTTGAATCTCATGGGGTCTCTTTTCCTATCCTGTCATTTTCGCAAATATGCTAATTATATTGCATGGTTTTGAAAGGAGCAGAAAGTTACTTTCCTTTGGGACAGCCAAATCCAATAAAATTAATTTTTGCCCCTAGCTGTACTACAACATCAACTGATACATGTTGAGAGACATTTTCTTCACAAGAAATGAAGTTTGCCATCGCTGTTAGTTGAGCAGCTGGTTCTACACTCATGAGGATTATGGATGTTCATTTATTCAACAGTCCCCCTCCCCCACTCTGTTCTGTTCTATTTCAAGACATTTGGTGTTTCCAAGCTATTTGTGATACAGGAGGGGGAACTGTTGGAAACAAAAGCAGAAATCTCACTGGCCTTAGTTATTCTGCAGTAGGATCATAACCATGTACCACGTCTGCTTTACTAAAAGAAAGAAAGAAAAACAACCTCCAGACGCTTTGTGTATCACTAGTTTGTCAACAAAAGTGAAAATGATGATCACTCAAATCCTGTATTGTGGCTGTTAACCATTTTAACTGCCTTGGGGAGGATCATTGATTCTTCTGAGAGAATGCCTCCTAGGCTTTTCTTATTCCATGTCATTCTTCTTGTCAGCACTGGTTATCAAGATGCCACACAATGCCTCTCTCAGTCTGCTGATTTTTTCCTGTTCTCAGCATATGACCATGTGCTATCTGTGATAGCAAGATGTTCAGTTTCACAGTTTATGTGAAAAGTACAAGTGCAGAAGGGATCGCCATGTTCTTAGTTCTTATTTTCCCCCATTCTCTTAGTGCCCAGAGTTAATTTTTCATGGAGTTTATTATATTTTCATGGTTTCCAATTACCCAAGGGACAAATATTTCATTTTATGGTTTGAATTTCAATGGGAAAAATCCAGTCAGAAGGAGGTGGTTGTCTTGTACATCGTGAGCATACTTGTCTCCTCCGTTAAAAAAATCTAGTTATAATTGTTTATGCCTCAGAGC